TGTCTAATTAAGGTCAGTTTGTAATGTATATTATAAAAAAGTACATCAGTCTTTATAAACACATAACACTAGTAACTATCAAGTGAATTAAGATACTCTGGTACTTAAAATATAAAAATCGTCATTGTGTAGATTAGAGTAACACATGTAATAGGACAATATATTGCTTTGAATTATACGTTTATGATATTTGTTATCTTACAATAGTTGAAATAATGTTTTGCTGAGCATAATGTGACTTCAAAACCTTTTTAGCAAATCACTATACTATATTGGCTACGTGTGCTGAGTAGTTATATTGAATTCAATATACACACTAACGACTTTCAGATTAGTTCAAAACTTACTTTAGTATATATGCATAGACCATTACTCCAGTAAGAAATAAAACAGTGATAGATATGAAAGTATTGTATTGTAATTAAAATTAAGCGTTTTTTAATGTATACAACAATTATCATTTAGTACAAACATTGGACAACTATGAAACTACTTCTCTTATAAATACTTGCATACAAAATATCACAGAAGAGATATAAATTAAATATATTACTCTGAAGAACATTTTTAGTACAATAATAAATATTTTTACATCTAAAATGTAACCAATTTTAAATCTTAGCTATTTTCTGAGTTCTTCACAAATCAGTTTAATTACGGTTAACATATTTAGAAGTTTTTCATTTAAAAAATCATGCTTTATTATTTCATTTATCTAGAAATTACTTACTTACGCCTGTTACTCCTCGTGAAGGAGCATAGGCCGCTCACCAGCATTCTCCGTTCAACCCTGTCCTGGACAATCCTTTCCAGTTGTTATTCACCTTTTTCATGTCTGCTTCTATTTTCCGACGCAATGTGTTCTTTGACCTTCCTCTTTTCCGTTTCCCTTCAGAATTCCAAGTTAGGGTTTGTCTATTTATCTAGAAATACATCAAACTAAATAAAGATCTATGAATGGCTATTTATTTGTAATTTAAGATATCTCAAGAGTACACGTCTCCTACTTTCATACGATATAAAACACAGGAAATATAGGCTTCGTCATTCTTCTTTCCTAATTACCAGCATCATTCGGTTGACCTGTAAATAAGCAATACTTTATCACTACTTTAAACAATGGCTCATTTAACAAAAGCTTACAGATCGAATAACTGTAATTATTGTCTTCTCTTTAAATCTCAAGATTGAAGTATACAACAGAATTAATGAACAGATCCAAACTTATTTTTCTTCACTAAATTATGTTAGCAAAATGATGAATAAAGAAATCATGTTTAATCAGTCTATGATGTGAAATGAATTACAAATATGATATCGTATACTAATTAATAAATTTCATTGTACAATAAAACAATATTCATTATAAATAACTTTGAAAATCGAGTAACATATCTTTTAAGAAGTGACAAGCATACAGTTTTCCTTTGTTTCTAATTACTTTGTATACTACGTATACTAAGGTTTATTGAAGCCTTGGCTATACGGAAATTGAAACCCCCTTTATGTGTTCAAAAACAATTTGTACTTACACTTAACCTACACTGGTAGTAATGATTTACTATCCAAAGTGGTAATCACATTTGTTTTTGTGTACTTTAATATTTTTCCTTTGTTATGACTTACCCTTAACCTGTCTAGTTGACCTTTTAATTTTTCATATATAAATGTTCTTAACAAGTATATGTGTGATCAGATTGTTCGAAATGTATTGCGCAAATATATCACATAATTCTGATAAACTACGTCTTCTCATTGCATTATCGAAATTTATCAAAGGGACTAATTGTTTTAAATTACTTTGTAGCTGAAATCAGACAGTGAGAAGAACTACTTCAGGGAATTTAAACAACCCTAATAATCAACTAAATAACTTTGCGAATAACTTTTTTAAAATGATTGTTGTTTGAGAAAAACAGTCTGTTAAGTCAGTAATCGATTGATTTCTTAAAACCCATATTCTATTTTATATCTGATTAACTATTATTACTAATTTAGTCCATCATCTTCAGTTGGGATTATGGACTAAGTAAATTTACACCAAAGTGAATTTAGCAGTCTGATGATTACGTCCAAAGATGTGCAACACAATGACTGCTAATGGATTATCTAAACAAAATGATACCATGAGAGTTGAGAATGAAATTCAAACTGTTACAGGTAAAACAATGAATGGTGTTAAAGACACACCCTTCTCTGAATATACAATATTGGTTCAACTGTTAGCACTGTGATAGAATATTTGATTTCTGGATAAATCAGTTATTCGGGGGGAGTTTTGTTCTATTACAGTACGACAGAAATCAATGAAAAACGTAGTTCACTAAATGAAATTATTTCTTTATCTCGTTGTTCCAAGTCATCACTTTCTTAGTTTCACAATAGCATTTTTATACGAGTTTGTTTCAAGCATCTCTTAGTGCTTATAAAGATACTATATCTAAGCTTGAATAATAGTAATATTTATTCTTGTTAAAAGTACTCTTGACAACCCGATAATTTTAAATTACTTCATCTATGTGAAGCTTCATTCCCCCTTCATTAACTTCTGTAAATTCGTCATTGACACACACTTTACTAATACAATTAGTCCTTTTAGTTAAATCTTTCTTTTAATTCTTCAGACTATAATCTGACCGTATATAAATTAGAAATGGTTTTATTTACTTTTGAACGAATTCACGTTCCATGTATTTTCGATCAGTCGAATTGCAATTAATCCGGCCGTTTAGTCCAGTTGTTTAATTACCCTCCCTCAAATGTCTTGGTATGATCGAAGATAGTTGAGACTGGGCTTCTTATTTGAAATGTTTTTATACGGCTACGAGTTTATAGTCTCTGCCACGGAAGTCCTACTCACTGCCTTCACGCAGTGTACTGTTTATGAATGCCAAAGGATCAATAGCGAACCGCTGCCATAGGAAAGCATCACGTGGCGTTGTCTCTATGTCGAAAGCTAGGGAGTGGGCCCCCAAGAGACCACCTTCCTTGCTCTAGACACTTAGGATTTGTCGCAGCCCTCACACAAATAATCGATATTGTATGGCATATACGACCTCGAGAGCCCGGTTGTGCTAGTTTTTATGCAGATGAGTCGCTACCTTAACAACCACATTATGGAGAAGACAAAATAAAATGGATATATTCTACTCTACCAAGTTTACTTTTCCTGTTTCGCTAAAAAATACTCATCGTACTGAAGTGTTACTTTACAGAATCTATAATGTAGGGACTCGCTAAGAAGCACAATGAAATATCTATACCTAGTGTCACTGCTGATTTATGTTAACCATAGTGAACATTTTCTGCGACTATTCGACCTATTACCGTTGAAGCTCAGCAATTTGTTAAACTATGTGAGGAATCATACCGAATTGCAGTTTTCCTTGAAAACTTGCATGGCTCCAAGTATGCTCGTGGCTGTAACGCTAGATCGATCGTAGATCAAACAAAAACAATCAACATGTTGCTTCTATTAACCAATTACTAAGTTGTTCAGGAATATTACTAGTGGAATACACTCAACACTTTATTGGAGTGAATAAAAAAAGGCAAAGCGAATATTTCGGAAACCATAAATCACTATTGAGACTATTTCTTTCCTAATAAATATGTACAAATTTCAGTCGGTTTTACTGAGAACGAAATTTCGTCACCAGAATCAAGAATATTGTTCTATATTAGGTATAATTAATATCTAAAGACTCACTTTATTCCACGTTCCTAATAACTTACTCGGTATGTACAGCGATTCAAACTTATCCTACGTCCATATTTAGATGAGGATGATAATGATATTCTGAATAAGGGTGGTCCTTGAATTTCCTTACTATGCTTACCTCAGGAAATCTGCAATATCTGACGAACTAGTCATACATGATAACTCGCCTCATTTATATTCAATTCACCCACGTGTCCACGACCATCGTCTACTTTAATATGCCTTACTACTAGAGTATATTTTGTCGCGGCCAAGCAGAGTTTAGTTGTTTTAACATCCCTTTATTACCAACCGTTCATTCGATTACACGACCACTTAATGGATTTATTGAATTACTTTCTGATTGGGTTCGACTGAGATGCGATTGGTTGGATAGCTAATGTAATGAATGAATACGCAGCACATTATATCTAGTGGTTATGCCTACTACTTCGTGAATAGAACGAAACCAAAGTTTTATAATGGATCAGGTCCTATAGTTCACCTACTAGTACTCTAGAAATGTAATCAAAAAACTACCTCTAAACCCATACTTCAAAGATTTAGACTATCACTGTTATGTCCCGACAAGAATAATGAATGGTAACTTTTGGTGATCCATTTATGGACCAATACTAAATGTATATTTCTATTGTATAATTATTACGTATCTAAAATATGCATATTCATATTCTTTTTATTACAAGCTTTATTTTGACCGATAAACTATTATTATACGTCTTACCATTCTTGAGTTATACCCAGTATATAAATTACTACCTCCCTCATTCACAGCCAGATCTGGCCAATTCTTGTACAAATGTTGTTTCATATTTCATTGGTACTTTGAGGTCTGTTTGATTAGTATAGAAACTCAGTGTGTTTGAAATATAGTGATTCATGTTACGGAGGCTGAGATTGGCGTTCTGGACTCAACTGGCTGGGCTAGGCGGAAAGCAGGACCAATCAGGACTCTAGGCTGTTCATACGGGTTTACGCGTCATTGGTCCGAGCGATAATTCACTGCTCTCTAATCGGTGGTTACAAGTTATAACAATCACTGAAACTTTGCAATCTAGAGCTACGAGCCTATAGCATATACGTTTAAAATACAAAGACTTGAGAGTTATATTACGTAACGAGCTACTCACAGTGATCATTACATATTTAGTATCAATTGTAAATTCCTGATTCAGACTACGAAAACGACATTTGATATAGTAAGTAGGGAAACTGGATATTACAGCAACGACATAGACCGATAAAATAAAGAACCAAAATAATCATGTCAAAAATATACATTTTGGACTAATATTATATTTTTTCCTTACTTCAACCTAAAAAGTAAATGCTAGCGAGAGCATATGATAAACAAGTATCGAAAAGAGTGAGTACAACAGGGACAGAAAATAGGTGATCTATGATATAGAAAGTCATGTCATGTATTGATTCATGAAGCACTGAAAACAAGAGGAGAAACAATTTGAATGAAACCATATTTGCCAATGGTCCACCATTCCTTTGTTTCATTTTGCAGCTCGATAAGACGATCATGATCCACACCTACACCTACATCTGATTTAGCAACTCGAAGAGCTACAACCATCGGTCCACATGAGCAATCGGTGATTGGGTCGCCGAGTCTTGGATCTTCTAACTTCTTTGAACACGTACAGCTTGGTGATCTACCAATCTGCACTCGATGGAAGGCATTGATCTTATCGTCTAGGTTGTCAGGTTTCCACTGACGATCACCTAAAAGCTTGCGGTAATTAAGATCACCCTTTGAAGAAAATAAAACAAATTGGAAACAATATTAAGAATTCCGTCATTATCTAGTACTAATCGAAAAAAGAATAGTAGTTGGAAACAAACAGTATCATACACTTACAGACTGAAAAAAATATGCATGTTAAGCATTGTATTAACTATGATCTGTCAGAGGAAGCCTTACTAACTACTGCATACATTGAGCGGGTAGGTAAAACTGTGGGGATAGATAAGTCACAACTCTTCATCCCCACGGTTCAAAGTACTTTATTTTTGCTTACTTCTAATGTATAATATATATTACTTGAAAAAATGTTAGATAATAACCACCTTTGTCAAATATAACTACCTTGAATATTATTAAATCATAATTTCTTGATAAATCCTGGTAAAGTGAAGCGTCAACTACTTCGATCTCGTCATATGTGCAGGGAGTAGTCCAAAAATACGAAGTTTCAAAGCGAAAACTGCTATCTTGAATCCGTTTTCGCCAGACTTCAGACCACTTTAAAACCGAATGGACATATTGATCATTGTTAGCACTCTTCAACTCCAAAATATTCATATTTAGTAGCCAATTAAAATCTTTGCCAGTGACATCTGATACAAACCATGGAATGCTTTTACCATGAAATGATACATGGTCAGCAATTTGACTTGTAAGGAGATACTCTGCAAGACATAGATCTGCGGTTAGTTCAGGACCTGAATTATCAAGTATAATAGCTACACGAAGTTTATGATTAGGATTCCTTGGATTCACATGATCTGAGAAGTTTTTACAGAACTGATCCAACGCATCACCATCATTTACAACTAACTGCCTCTCAACACGCTTGATAAAGTCCGAAATTTGGTCGAATTCAATTTGTTGAAAGTCGCCATCAGGATGAAGTGATAAATCAAATTCATTGGCCCATAAAGAAGCCTAGAAATGTAACAGCACATACAATAAAACTTGGTAATAGATTATCGACTCAATTTTATATGAGGAATAAGCATAAAAGAAGTATGGGAAATAGGGGTATATTTATGCTTTTACTGATAGAAGCTGACCACAAAATGTACATGACTACATTAAAATAGTCACTGAACACAACTGGATGTATATTTCGTGTTTTATCATAACATAATTTGTTGGATGACAGTGATTCCTTAGAGTAAACGACGATCTACAAAAGACAATAGCGGATAATTTGAATATTCGAAAGCTTCCAGAAGTCATTTATTCACACAGTAACGACCGATTGGCTTTGGTAAACAAATAACGAGGAGGAAAGCAGACTACGTATAAAACTTCAGAAGAGAGTGATATAACGAGTAAGAATCGGACTTAACGCCCAAGTCTATAGATCATTAGATACTGGGGAACCTGCAAAACATATATTTTCATTCCTTATTTATTAAATGAAAACTCATGTTTATTTTTCACTGAATATTTTATGTATAAGCACGTTAGCTTACTCATTCTGCTGGACGTCTGTTTTTTTATATTAGCTTATTCACGGGTTTGGGTTGATAATCCAGTCTCGTGAGTAGTTGTCAATGGTCTATACAGTAGCATTGCATGTTACTTACTGATCCTCACTTTAACATCCCAAATAAATGATCCATAAAAACAAGCCACTACATGAAGAACTGTCATTCAGAGGGTTCTTCATTTTGGTATCTTGTAACACAACAACCAGTATCTAAGAGAGTAATCATAATAATTTTTCATCTCAGCCAGTCAGCTAAAAGGTAGAACAAGACACATAGGTACATCGACCCAAGTTGCCATACCTCATTAGCACAAGATGATTTTTATTCATTTATTTGAACACATAGATATTAGTACATGGGGGCACCAGATACATATGCACCACACAAATCTTATTTGATTTGACGAAGATTTACAATCTCATCAACTGATTTACCGTCATTCCCTAATACCCTACGTCTAACCTCACTATTACTTACCCAGTGATCCCAGCAGATGCGAACAATATTTCTAAGACATCTGTGGTCAAATACTAGTGGCTTACGAATATCTTCTACTCTTAGTGGCCACGTTTCGCAGCCGTAAAGTAAAACAGAACGAACTGCCACGCAGTTTACTTGTCCTTTTATTGATAGACGGATATCTCGCCTTCATCATAGGTGACGCAAGCTGGCAGAAGCCAAACGAGCTTTTCAAATCCGTGCAGAGATTTCGTCAGACACCAACCCATTAGGGCTGACCAGACTTCCAAGATAAGTGAAATTGTCAACGCGTCCGACTGCTTCACTCCCTATCCTTAGTTCAGGTGTCACCTAACAAACACTGATGCAACTAAGAATGGTATTCAACAATGACACTAACTTAGTATGTATATCTTCATGAAAAGGGTGTTAAAACACATCCACATATAGCTTTAAACACTCAAATACTTAAAATAACTTGCAAAGACCTATTTTGTTAGTTGTTCTGCAATAAGTAGTACATTGAATCAATAATCAGGTGAACAAACTTAGACGTTGCTTAATTTCAAATCAAAATCTAATTGCAGATTCATCCTCCTGAATCAGCAGACATAAATATTAAGGCTAGACTATAAGTTCATAAACATCCCTTTAAAAAGAATAGACATTTTTGCTAACTTAGCAACCGCCTATGAAGATTTGATTATGGGTAATTTCGAAGCTTTGCTTCCATAACCTCAACCCACCGAGTGATATTGACGCTAGATATAGTTTTAAAGATGGTCAATCGGTTACGAACCTTGCCAAACGGAAGTAGTTGAAACATGTGTTAGACATGTCCATCAGTAAGCCTATATTGAGTTACACACTAACTTCATTAATCGCTATTAAAGCTTACTTTATGTACTTAGTTTTTCACTTTAATACTGGTATTATCGTGCTCAACTCTGCTTCCGGTCTTATTAATACATTATCACTGTTTCTAAGTTTGAAAACGTGGACAAACACAAATACGTTGTTTTGTACTTATATCTGTCTAGGCTATGACATGAAAAGCAGCATTTAGCTTTCTTGATTGGCTTACAGAGGACAACTTAAATATAGTATAACGAGTATGATTAGGTACGATATTAGACTACACCTTCAATAAGTTTTAGTTTTCAGAAAGGTTGAATAGCCACTAAATGTTTTTCATTCAAAGGTTACGATGCATTTTGCATATGTTATTTTGTCAATACAACATTTATCAGTGTCGTTTTAGCGTTGAACCTTAGTCAAGTGAGTTTTCTTATTCCTGGAAAACAAATGGAGCTGTTGCATTACGGATGATTTTTCTACCCAAGTTGGGAATGAAAGTCAATAGACAACTGACATTCCTTCTTCCACTTTTCGAGTGCGTGTTTATCGCCGAGAAAAACCGCATTTATACAACCTGACTGCATGAAAAGTAACTGAACTTTGTAGAGTAGCGGGTAAGTGATTAAGATATTCGGATTTTAGTCGCTAAGTCCTTGGTTCAACCCTTTCTCTGGTTACTTCAGTTTGAGAAACCGGGTGGTCATTAATCATCATGCTTGCAGTGTGACCCATACATGATTATTGCTGGAAAAGAAAATTAAGTCCTTTTAACTATAACAATAATTTAAACTACATATTCGGCCCTACTGGTAATATAAGATATATGGTAATGGAAAAAATTTTTTTGCACGAAGGACTTACCAAATCTTTAAAGATATACTGTGGACGACTAACATGATAAATAATGAATAAACGGACTGAAGTTCATGGTGCCACTTATATACACCTAGACACAAGGGATACTGTCTTCCCAATAGAATTTTGTAGCCTAGACTAAGAAGTTGGGTAGATAATGTGCTACGATTCGTCTTTTTCGATCACTTGAATATAGACTTCCTTGACGCTATTCATCACTGTGTACTGGAGGCAGGAAATTATTGATACCACAGCATGACCTCAGTGGATTAAATTTGGTAATTAATTCAGCTGTTGATGGATCTAATTTAAGCTTCTTAGCCCAAGTGCATAAAATCTCTCTAAGGAACTACACAAAGTATGATTCACTAGAGAATTAGCAGCAACACTAATCATAAGAATGGGATTCCCAGTTTACCACTACTTACTAAATGCACCAATGATGGCGACAAGTCACAAGTATGATCGAAGCCTTGAGACGGTCTGTAATTTCGTAATAATGATAATTCATATTTTGGAAGTCTGAATGTGATAAGAGTACTAATTCGAGGACAACAATAGATTGGGATGACCTGTTTGGAGCGAATATAGAATAGATAGGATTTAACTAGCAGTCGCATCCAGAGCGCATACTTGGTTTTATTTGGGACTCGTTAGCTGAATGTACCTGAATCTCAGAATTGATATCCATTCCAAGAACTGAATCCAAGACATTTTAATACAAACCCTCGACGCCTTAACCACCAAAGAACTCAGATGGCTATTTACCTGTGAAGGGTATGAATCTTAATTAGATTTGAAATGCTCGTCTGAGATTACCCAGCAAGCAACATTTTACCGATTCCATACAAAACTGTGACAAAATGGCGATATCAAGGCAATCTGTACAGAAAATGCATATGATAACTAAGAGCGGTCAAATTTTCCACAAACAAATAATTAAAACCATTACAAATTAAATCAAGACTCATACGAAGTGATTGTGCATTTACAGTTCCCAAACGTACAATCGTATTACATTTGCTGAATTCATGCTTAGTATACCACATTAACCCAAATCGTCTAGCTTCACGACCTTTGCAGTTTTTCTATATATTTAATAACAAAATTCTCAGTTGAAGTAGTAAAATATTATACATTTTATGTTACCCACATTTATGAAAAAGTTGAATGCTCGTTCAGGAGGTAAATCTGACAGTTTTGTCAAGCAGTGAAGGACAGAATTTATGAAAGGTTCAGCCTTTTTGAAGCAATGTTTCTTTTTTAAGAAAAAAGGATCAAATTCAATTAGACCACTAAGAATTAATCTATACATGGTTCCAAACTCACCTTTGCACAACCACATCGATAACACGACGGTAAAGATAGCATTCAGCGAATAGCCATGGAAGATCATACCAGCACATTTGTAGACCTTCAGATTCTGTGTCCTCTGATTGTCTAAGTTTAACTCTTTGCACAGACAGTAAGTGATTCCAGAGTTCCAACTCAGTAGAACCAAGAGGTGAGAACGATAAGAGTGTGATTGGTTTGTTCGTCATTATGTCATATCTTAAGTGACAAATAAGTCGCGTTAGTTCCTTCAACTTGTCGGATATGTCCTAAGAAAATATGCGTCAGAACCTATTGTAACTGACTTGACGAGCATCGTTACAATACGTTTCACGATTCCGGTAGATCGAATCGATAAGCTGAGATAAAATTTTTGGCCACCGCTCTTGAATGGTATTGAGGGCGAATTCACTAATTTGACAACATGGAGGAAGAAAGCAGAAACACACCTGTTATGGAATGTCAGCTTCGAAGGGGACATCCTCAAGGTCACAAGTCAAAAATGCGGGTCACAGTGTAGTGGTTTATGTCCAGACGGTTCAGTTGGCTCTGGAAGAGATGGGAGCTTTCGTTTATTGGGCCTCCATATCTAGTAACAGTGGATCATATATGCTGCTAGCTAGGAATCTAGGTATATTTAACGACATATATTAGCGCTTTTCGAACGGGAAGTTTAGTACTAACGTGATTTGCATTTATCAAACTTTTGCTGTCTTCTTACGCAACAAAAGTACCATTTCAATTCTAAAGAATCTATCCTGAGCTATACGTTCGGTAGATTATTTTTTTGAGTTTCACCATATTTAATAGTTACCAGTGGTTCTGCCTCAGTTTACTATTCGGTTTGTTTTTGTTTTTCACGTATAGACTAGTTTCAGTTTATAACACTCGTTTTATCCATTTTTGTCCGTTTTCAGTGTGCTTTTTAGTGTTTTTTTAAAGGTCTTGAGCTCTTGTAAGCATCTATAACGTAGTTTGCTTCAACATAGTCATGCAAACGTCCAGGATGCCGTTTTGCTGTTGCAACTGGCATGCAGTGCGACAACTGCAAAGGTTGGCTCCACGAAGCATGCACAGATCTGACATCAACTGCTTACAACAGACTCAGCAAGTCAGACCAAAAATGGGTATGTGTCACGTGCAGCACGGATGCTGTTGTCTTGCTGAGTAACATCATTGTCCTATTGACAGATCTTCGGAACAAGTTGTCAGTTAACTTGGACAACGATAGTAAAAAAACCGGTAGACAAACAAGAGCGTGCGACGTATACAAAAACAGGGATGTCGATAGGTATACCATCGATGGAGCATCCATCAACACTAATGATGACGTGTCGAGGCTCAGCACCATCATTACGTCGAAGGTATTAGACTCCATAAGCAAACTCGAGTCTCCCAGCTCGGGGTCCCTGAACTCAACAGTGGTTCTCAAAAACCCTGTAGGTGATTCGACCCACGTTAAGAGAGCCCAAAAGAACCAGGCATCACCGCCTAAGCCGAGCAACCCAAGTGTTGCTGTACGGAAATTAACTGGTGATTTGGTCGCACAGTCTACTCCCAAGATTGTTCGTTCGGTCAAAAAAGAGCCCAAGCCTCAAAAACGCACACTGACCTCCAAACAGCAAGTCATTAAACATGAATCCGCCGTGAAATCTGGTAAATTAACAACAGTTCGTGACGACTCTCTCATTATCATGAACCTCGTTGATAATCCTGAGCTTCCTCTCAGTCTGTAGGACAAAAACGACAGGATGCTCTGAGGTGAATTGAACAAGAAGCTCGAACTTCCTAGAATAGAGCCTTTGATGGTCACCCGGCTCTCGAGAGGAAAGGAATCTAAGCATCTAAATCACCCAAAGCTTCTCCGAGTAACAATTAAGAATGCTACCGATGTTGAGGACGTCTTACTAGCAAGTCACTTGCTGAAATCAGATGATAACGTAAGAATATTGCCCGACATACCGTTCTCTGAGCGCAATATCATACGAAACATCCCTAAAGAATCTCGCGAGAAGTTTTTCCGCGGAAGAAACATAATTGTGTAAGGTATACCGGAAAATGCAGACCCTACTCAATCAAATTCTGACATCAGGGAATGGAAATTCATCAAACAGTCCTTGAGGTTCAAACACATACTGACTCAGCATGTGACGAGATTAGCCAAGAAGTACGGTGATCTTAGACCCCGTCTAATGAAGATAACCTTCCCATCTTTTCACATGGCGGCTGCAGTTCTGGAAGCATTTCGTGCCAACAGACGTCAATTGCCACCTGGAATCCACATGCAACCGGATAGGCCATATGAAGCCAGGACCAAGCACAAAAGCAAGTTGGAGCTGACCATTCCACTTGTGGATTGTTTAAACGATAAAAAAGTGTAAAGGACAGGGCCTACCACCTCGGTAAACCTCACATAGGTGGGCTATCTGTCCATTCACATAAGGCTCACACAGAAAAACGGGACGAAGCTCACGCATTCCAAATTGAAAGCATAAACTGCTTATATATGAACGACTCGAGTCTACCAAACAAACTGGATGAATTACGTGAACTTTGCAACGCTAATAAAGCCCACCTGATAGGAATATCTGAAACCTGGATATCTTCTCAGTTCTCGGACCAAGAGTTAGCATTACCAGGGATGACTTTGTTCCGCAACGACAGAACAACAGGAATTGGGGGCGGAGTAGCCATATACATAAGGTCTTGCTTGGAGGTGCACCAAGTTCACAACCTCGAGTTTAACAATCTTGAGGAATCCATATGGTGCTCTGTAAGATTGTCTAGTACTTCGAGGTGTCTAGTCGGTGTCATTTACAGGAAGCCAACTGCTGACATCGATTACGATAGTCGTATGCTGGATGGACTATCCCGCTCTACCCGTCTCGGTTTCACACATATCCTGATTCTAGGGGACTTTAATCTCCCTAGAGTCAACTTCGCGGAACACACGTATACTGGAGGCGACAACTCAATTGAAGCTCGGTTCTTCAACCTCATCGACGACTTGGGTTTATATGAAAATGTGAGGTCGGCAACTCGTTGGAGAATCAGTCAGACACCATCGCGGTTAGACTGTGCATTCACAAACGAAGAACTCCTAGTTGACAACATCTCAATCCTGGCTCCTCTGGGAAAGAGCGATCATGCCGTCATAGCCTTCAGTTTTGTCGCCAAAACCAAGCTAAGGTATCCCAACAATAATTTGCGTTGGAATTTTAAACGGCTGAATGTGCCAGCTCTACATGACTATCTACAACAGGTGGTTTGGGATGTTCACCCCCAACTCGATGTGGACGGTCATTGAGACTTCTTACTGCACACGCTCTTATGTGCTACAAACCATTCAGTTCCTCAAACGGTTCCCAAAAGCTGTAAGCCACCTACAATAATCAAGAACCGTACCCTTCGCCTGCTAAGCCGTAAAAGGCATTGTTGGGCGGAATACAAACGAACTGACAACGACGGAGCGTATAGGCAATTCAAACATATCAGGAACATATGCACGAAGGCTATAAGAGAAGACAGGCTTCATTATCAGACAAAGCTTATGGACAAATTTGCCTCGAACCCTAGAAGCCTATTCCGTTATGCAACCTCTCTTCGTCAAGCCAAAACAGGAGTTTCTCAACTGCTAGGTCGTAACGGCCCAACCAACAATGATGGTGACGCCGCTAACCTTCTAGCGGCACATTACTCTCAAACATTTCAGCCGGCTGACATCAACTCTATTGACGACAGTTTCATCTGCAATTCCACAGGGCTTTCCGAAGTGGACTTAAGCGCTGACTTGGTGTTCCGGAAACTGCAGCACTTAAGACTAGATACTTCTCCTGGCCCGGATATGGTTCATTCTGCCATACTGAGGGAGGCAGCCTCAATCCTGGCAACGCCGCTTAGCGTGATGATTTCACACTCGCTAATCCGAGGCAAACTACCGGAAAATTGGAAGTTGGCTCACATCACACCAATTTTCAAAGGGGGTCGACGAAATGAACCTTCAAGTTATCGGCCGGTGGCTCTTCTGTCATTACCTTCAAAACTCATGGAGTCCCTGATATGCGATGGTTTAAACGATTATCTACTGTCCTTAAATTTCTTCTCACCCCAACAGCATGGTTTCAGGAAGGGTTACTCTTGTATAACCAACCTGCTGACTGCGGTGGACAGATGGACAAGCATCCTCGATCGCAAGGGAAAGGTTGATATCATATACCTTGATTTCTCAAAAGCTTTTGATAAAGTTAACCACTTGTGTCTTATCAATAAGCTCAAATGACTAGGTATCAAATCACCTCTAATCGATTGGCTTACTTCATACCTAGAAAATCGACACTTTAAGGTTAGGGTTAATTTCACTTTATCTCAGGCTATGGAATGTCCTAGTGGGGTCCCCCAGGGCTCAGTATTAAGGCCTCTTCTCTTCTTGATCTACATAAACGATCTTCCTCAACAGGTAACGTCAGACTTATTACTTTTTGCCGACGACGTGAAACTTTGGAGAGAGATACGCAACCAAGACGATACACAGGCACTTCAGGAGGATCTGACTCGACTTCAAAGTTGGGCAGATGATAACGGACTTACCTTTAACACTTCAAAGTGTAAAGTAGTCCATCTGCGACATGTCGCAAACTACAGTTATAACTTAGGAAACTCCTCTCTAGTAGTATCTCAAGTCGAAAAAGATTTAGGAGTCCTGGTGCTCCATGATTTAAAGTCTTACGCTAATTGTGACAAAAATGCCTTCCGAGCAAACCTTGCACTGGTAACATTGATGCGCATTTTTGGCCAGTTTGACGGATCAACTTTCCATACAATCTTCAATAGTTTTATCCGTCCCCATTTAGAGTACGGAAATATAGTACCCCCCCCCTCACTCCAAAAAGACAAGGTCACTTTGGAGCTTATCCAACGTCGAGCCACGAAATCAGTTCGCGGACTCAAATCAAAGCCTTACGAAGAACGCCTCCATTCATTAGACCTTTACCCATTAGATTATAGGCGTCTTAGAGGTGATTTATCAATGGCTTATAGTATTCTTAACACTTCTGGACATCCTCTTAAACACCTATTCAAGCTTAGTTCGAATACTAACCTAAGGGGTAACACCCAGAAACTGGAAACTCAACATAGCAAGACGGGATGTAGATACAACTTCTACTCCTTCAGAGTTGTCAAAAGCTGGAATTCGCTGCCGGCCGAGCTAGTCCAAGCGACTTCTCAGGAGTCCTTCAAGAGGCAACTTAATCTATTCTTAAGGACCAAGGACAGTATCATACTATGATTTACCAATTTCTTTTCCTCTTTTATTGTTAACATACCTAGGTTCCTGCCTGGAGGATTTGGTGATCCCCTGCTACTAGACACGGAAGCCTGTGAAGCGAAAGCTTCTTCTATTCCGTCCACAACCATTTGAACCATTTGAACCATTTAACGATAAAAGAGAAAACTATTAATAAGTTGTCCGTCAGTCAGCAACAACGTAGGACCGGGCACATATGTGC